GGCTTTGGAATGGAGATGAGCACCGTCCCCTAGAGTGGGGAACGACTAGCATGTATGCGCGAGGGGAACCTTTACCTTTATGCAGGATTAGAGGACTTAAGGAACAGTGATGGGCAGTAGGGATGTAAAACCAGCTCAAAGTATTTTTTTAAAAATCTTTTGTGTTTGTATGGATGTGTTTTTTTGTTGTAGCGCTGTGTGACATGCATCCCATGAGGGCCCTCTTTCTGATTCCACGGAACCCTTCCCCGAAACTGAAGTCCAGGAAATGGTAAAGCATCCGTTTCAATGATAATGAATGTGTTCTTGTCTTTATGGGTTCCCCGACAGTTGCCTTCTCATCACGTCCTTCAGACTGAAGTCCAGGTGCTCTCTTGAGTGGGGTTGGGAAGGGGGGATTTGGGGTGGGCAGACGTTTCATCACCCAACTAGGGAACATCATCAAGTATTAGAAGGGAGTGGGGTTTGCTCTCTGTTCATATCTATCTATCTATCTGACTGGCTTGCTCTGTCAGTGTTGGTGGAAGCGATGTTTTACTCTTGGTAGCACTGATGATGTTATCTAGCTGGGTAATGAATTGTGGGTGCTCCATCACTTGAGGTTTTCAAGAAGATGTCAGCCATTTCTCTGGAATGATAAGAGGGTCCAGCTATTCTCCAAAGCATCCGAAGGCCGGACACGGAATAATGGAGGGAAACTGATCCAGGAGAGATTCAACCTGGAAACAAGGAGAACATTTCCTGACAGGGAGAGCAATCAACCCATGGAACCAGAAGATGCCTTCGGAAGTTGTGGGAGCTTCATCACGGGAGGCTTTCAAGAAGAGACTGGAAGACCATCGGTCAGAAACGGTGTAGGGTCTTTTTGGGCAGAGGGTTGGACTAGATGACCTGCAGGGTCCCTTCCTACTCTGTTAATCTGTAACTGTAGCTGCAAGAAAACTACCAAGCTCAGAGAGCACCAAGGACCCCACAACTAAAAGACTAGGAACCCCCCCCCCCCTAAAAGAGGAAGAAAGTCAAAGTAAGCAAGCCATGGTTAGTTTGCTCATTCATAAGACTGTCCATAAGGTTAGTTTAACAAGGCAGCATAAAAGCAGAATCCTGGCTAGGAGGACCTGGGAGACCAAAGATTTTGCTGGCCTTTGAGGGGAAAGAAAGGACGACGAACCTTCTCCATAAAGTTAAACTGTTGGTGTCATTTTTCCCGATTTCTTTTTAGGTCAAAAAAGTTTCTCAACTTTGTCGACAGTTGCTTGGTGAAGAATTACACGCATCGCCCGGTGACGGAGACCCTGCTCAAACACTCCTTCATCAGGGACATGCAAAACGAGCGCCAAGTACGGATCTTGCTCAGAGATCATCTAGACAGGACCAGGAAGAAAAAGGGGGAAAAAGGTGATTCCCTCCCACCTTCTCCTCACTCTTGAATTCAAAGGCTGGTTTGCATGGAAGGCTAAAGCCTCACAATCGGTTTGTGCCTCAAGTGATATGGGATGCGGGGGCTCAGTGGCTAACACGCTGAGCTTCGGTGGTTGGAATCCCCAGCGCCGCGTAACGGAGGGAGCTCCCGTGACTTGTCCCAGCTTCTCTAGCAGTTCGAAAGCAGGTAAAAAATGCAAGTAGAAAAATAGGAGCCACCTTTGGTGGGAAAGTAACAGTTCCATGCACCATCAGCGTTGAATCATGCTGGCCACATGACCACGGAGACGTCTTCGGACAGTGCTGGCTCTTCAGCTTTGAAACAGAGATGAGCACCGCCCCCGAGAGTCAGGAACGACTAGCACATATGTGTGAGGAGAATCTTTACCTTTACCTCAAGTAATGACAGAGGAAGGCAGATCGTAATTGGGAGTAGAGGGAGGCTCCAAGACGTTGAGCATGACCCAAACTCCACCTCCTTGTGATGGACATAAAAAGGGGGTGAAATTTTGAACACAGGGCCTCAGTGGAAATGACTTTTTGATCTCTCCTGCGGATCCCTTTGACATAAATGGTTAATCTTTGTGTCAATCAACTTCCAAGATGCCCAGCTGGCATTCTTCAAGATGAGCTGGCTTCAATTCCCAGAATTCCCCAGATGGCAACCTTTAAGATGCGAAAGATAGATAGATAGATAGATAGATGATAGATAGATGATAGATAGATAGATAGATAGATAGATAGATGAGACAGACAGACAGACAGACAGAAAGACAGAAAGACAGAGCAATGTGTTAGCTCAATTCCTTTCCTCCATGTGTACTCCCCCCCCTCTTCTCTTACACATACACGCGCACACCAACACATGTTCCATGCCTGGAACAATCCCGCTTCTTTTGTATAACTTTGCCTCCTTCTCTCTTTCTTTCTAGATGAAACGGAATATGAGTACAGCGGAAGTGAGGAAGAAGGGGACGAGTTGAACGAAGACGAGGGAGAGCCAAGGTCTGTTTTTTGGATTTGCAGGTGAAACCAGAACACTTCCGGAATCGTCTCCTAAAAGGGCCCAGCCTCTCCCAGCCCCTTGAGGTCCACAGGTCTTAAAGTGGCCGAGGTTGGACCACCTATTGTGGTCAGGGTCCCATGTGACACCCCCAATGAAGGAAGACTCCGAGGCTCAAGTTTCCTCAAAGTTCCATTTTATTAGAGGCGTCATATTGGCACATCTGGGAAAACCCAAATCCGAAAGGCTCCAGGTTTTCCCCACCCAAAAGAAAGTCCAAGCGCCTGCCCAGCACCCACATGTCCATCCCATGGCCTGATCAGGCATCGTTCCAACCGGAGATGCCGTCCAGTCACACCCCTTGAGGTGCAGGGCAAGACGTCCTTGACTCTCTGAGAAAGGAACGCTATTTTGACTATATATCACCCACACTCTCTATAATCCCCCCTCCAGTGGTGGGTTTGTATCATTTTTACTACTGGTTCGCTTGTGCGCGCACGCGCTCTCTCTCATGCGCGCGATGCTTCAGCGCATATGCGGAGCCTCCCACCACGACCACTACCGGTTCGGCCAAATCGGCCCGAACCGGGACCGACCCACCTCTGCCCCCCTCCCATTTTCTCACAGTAGAAAACGTGGCAGGCTGAAGGCCCAACGCAAAGGATGCCTTCCGGGCCCGGCACAGGCGACCGTAGCCACGAATTGGGTTCTGCAAGAAAAGGTGGGAAGAGAAAGATTGCAGCCACGGTCCGTGTGGTTTGGGTGTGGAAGGGAAGGGAGGAGGCAGCTAAGGAGCCACCAAATCATCATCATCTCTTTGAACAAAGCCAGATAGAAATTGTGCTGGGCCCCTTCCTCCCACCGCTGAGGGGTTTTTGGAGGACGTTCAGCTTAACTAGGGCTGCATTTTTCCAGGGCTTCTGTGTCCTCTCCTGCACCCCCACCCAGAACCTCAGCAGATGGGATTCCATACAAATCCCCCCACAAAAAAATCATAATAGCTGAATCCTCCTTTTGTTCTTCTTCCAGTGTTTTACTGTTGAATGCAAAGTGTGAACAGATGCTAAAATTGGTTTGGGGGAGGCAGTGGCGAAGTGAGGTCTCTGGCGAACAGATAATCAGCTTTCGGATGCTGCGATTCGGGAAAGTTGCTCAAACAGAGGCCAGTCTGGCAGCTGAACCAGGAAGGGGATTTTTTGTGCTTTTGGCGTGTTCTAATGCTGGGAGTTTTTTGGTATTTGCTGAGCTATCTTAATTCTAGAATTAGTCAAACTGATTATCCTTTCTTTCTCACCCCTCCTTTTCTCTTCTCTTTCCTTTTCTCTTTCTTTTTCTCTCCCTCTCTTCCCCTTTTCTCTCCTTTCTCTCCTTCACTTTCTTTTTCTCTTCATTTTTCTCTCCCCCCTATTTTTCTCTTGTTTCTCTCTCTTTCTCCTTCTCTTTCTCTCTTTTTCTCTTTCTTTCTCTCCCTCTTTTTCTCCCTTTTCTTCCCTTTCTCTTTCTTTCTCCCCCTATTTTTCTCGTTTCACTCTTTTTCTCTCTTTCTCCCTCCTCTCTTTCTCTTTCTTGTTCTCTCTCATTTCCCTTTTTTTCTCTCTTTCTTTTTCTCTTCCTTGCTCTCTCTCAATTTTTCTCTCTTCTCTCTCTCTCTCTCTTTCTCTCTCTTTCTCATTTTCTCTCTCGTTTTCTCTTTTCCTGTCTCTCTTTCCCTCTTCTCTCCTCTTTCTCTGTATCTCTCTCTCTCATTTTACACCCATGTGTGTTTTTAAATGAAGCTCCATTGTGAATCTCCCGGGGGAATCTACCCTGCGGCGAGAGTTCCTCCGACTTCAGCAGGAGAACAAATCCCGTTCGGAAGCCCCCCGCTTGCAGCCCCTGCAATGCCAGCAGCAGAAACACCAGGAAAACTACAAGAGGCTCCTGGAAGAGAGGCAGAAGCGCATCGTGGAGCAAAAGCTGCAGAGGAAGAAGCTGGAAGATGTAGGAGCTGGGCCTGGGGTTTTTTTTTTTGAGGGGTGGGGAAGGGTGCTGTGATTGGCCTCCATTATATTCGGCTGACCTCATCCTGTTCCTTTTCTTGTTTTCTTTTTATAGGATAGGGATAGGATAGGGCAGGGGTAGACTAGCGTGCTATTTCACGCCAAGGACTGACCTGCAAACACCCATGGGCTGCATTTTCTAAGAAAGCCTTGGGGTGCTTCGGTGAGGCCCAGAAGCAATCTTGGGGGGTGGGGAGGAGACGCCGGAGTCCCATGCTTTCATTTGCAGTTGACAAGTTGGCCTTTAAGAGAGGAAAGCGTTATGCCGTGTCAGTGGTGAGATTCAAATAATTTAACAACCGGTTCTCTGCCCTAATGACCAGCTGGGTAGGCGGGGCTTGGTGGTCATGTGACTGGGTGGGTGTGGCCAACTCAACGTCACTCACTGGCTGAATCCCACCACTGGTTTTGGCCTCAAGCTAGAAACTGGGATTTCACGAATTCCCAGTTGCACCTTGAGCACAGGGGGAACCGGGTGACCTTGGGCCAGACCCTCCCTCTCCGCTCTAGCAAGGAGCCGAGGGCCAACCATGCCTGGAGAAACCTTGCCAAGAAACCTGCAGGGACTTGGCCAGGAGTCAACGTGGCCTTGAAAGCACCAAAAACACAAAAGCCCCCTGGCCTTCCAGGGCCTGTTTTGGAGGATCTGGAAGGCCACATCTTGCCCTCCTTCTCTGAGGCCAGAACGTCTCCTCTTGTAGGCCAAAAGAGCCCTTTGGACGTCTTCAGGCTGCTTTGCCACGGGAGACGGAGCCCTGCTGGCCAACCGTTAGACGGCCATAAATAGAGAAGCAACTAAAAAGAGAGAAAGGGGGGAGATGGTAGGTAGACAAAGACAGACAGATTTGATAGAGAGAGAGATATGGGAGAGAGAGATAGCTGAGTAGGTAGGTAGGTAGGTAGGTAGGTAGGTAGGTAGGTAGATAGATAGATAGATAGATAGATAGATAGATAGATAGATAGATAGATA